TTTTTTTTTTTTTTTTTTTTTTTTTCTAAAACCTCTTATGCTCTGCAAGAGTTAAGAGAAATTCTGAGCAGAATCTCAAAAGTGGCTTCCAAGTGCAGCCCTGCTCTGAGGATGGGTTTTGGGAAAGAGGTACCAGATTCCCACATCCAGCAGCTCCTGGTTCTCTGAGAATTTGTCCATCACCAAGCTTAAGTCTCTTTTTTACTTCCTGGAGCTGCAAACTCTGCTCTAGATTTTTGAAGCTGAGAGTAGGAACTTGCCAATGTTCCTGAGATCTAGTCCCAGTTACAGGAAGGAGATGTGCAGCTTCCTCACTGAGGCTAGGGTATATAGGCAAATCCTATTTGGGTAAGGCTGTGTTTCACAAGGCTGCTCTGAATCCTTGAAGTGCAGCTGCGGGCGCAATGGACAAGTGAGTTGCATAGTAAGTCTTTACAAAAGTGTGTTTTGTGTTGTGGGTGGTTTTGGGTTTTTTTGTGGGTGACTTGTTACCTCCAGAGGATGAAAGGGGAGAGTGTGGAGAAAAGAGTGAACATGTGTTTTGGATTGAAGAAAGGCCCCTTCAACTAGAACTCCTGTAACTGTTCAGCATGGTGCTCTGAGGGTTATATACCATAGCCAGGTGCAATAATGGGAAGGGTGGGGTGGGATTGGTGGGGCCTCTCTGAGAGTGAGGTTGAGAACTGTTAGTGAGAATGAAAGCTGCTTGCTGTCTTGGGGTATGCTGGGAAGGGTCTCCTCCCTCAGGGCTTGCTGAGAAGGGGCTAGATTTTTGCATGTTTTACCTCCATGCACTGGCATTTCACTTGCATTGAGTTCATCTCCCTGCTATTCCCCTTCCTTCCCTTTCGGAAAGGGTAGAGATGAAGATCTGGAGTGAAGCAGCCCTCGTCCTTTGAGGACTTTCCCTATCCCCTGTGGAATTAAGCTTTGGTTATGGCTGGACAGAAGTAAAATCATCTCTCGAACTCTCCCGGACAAGGCTTTGGCACCTCGTTCCTCCTTGGTCTTCTGGTGGCTGAGGCCTCTAGGCTGTCTCTTCCATTTCTTCCTCTAGGGTGTTGTATCTTGCCTTTTCTCTCCTCCTTAACCCTGTTCTGTCTTTCTGCATGGGCAAAAATATACCAATACCCAGGCCCCCAGAAGATGAAGCAAGGGACTTCCCTCCCTGTCCACAGGACTTCAGCCGCTGTCTCACGCACGTGTGGTTTATGTATCTCCTCTATAAATACAACTGTAAACCTCCCTTTCTGGCATGTAGAGCAACCAGCTCATGTACTCTGAACTCTGCTAACAAACACAATCCCACCACCTTATTGTCTCTGCCACCTTATTGTCTCTGTGTGGATATGAGTGGGGAAAGGGAAGGGTGACCTTACACTTTGCCCTTGAGGGAAAGGGACTTCATTCAAATTGTACTACTTGCTTTGAAATCCTCCCATGGGCGGGGGGGGGAAGTGGTTCCAGGCATCTGGAAGTGAAGCACAGCCTTTCAACAGTACAACACCAGTTGCAGTCATGCTGGGAAGTATGTATTTGGTGGACAGGCCAAAGGGTAAGTGGGAATGAAGATGTGGACTTGTGTTCTGTGTAAAGTTAGATATCTGGTTTTAAACTGTTGTTTGGGGGAGGGAAACTTGAAGAAGTTGTATCGTTCATGAGCCAGTGGGAATTGAAAGTTTAATATGCCACCGGTGCCAAGTTAATGTGGGCAAATTAAATTACCACCCAGTCAGCTGAATTCAGACATGGGTCCCTCTCATTCTGCTAACAAGGGGATATAAAGGCAATATCCTTCTCTAGCAGAAGGCCATTTAGAGGTATATCCTGGCACCTTCTGTCCCTTGAAGAGAATATTCTGACTGAACCTTCTCTGGCTACTTCTCTCTTCAGCTCTGTAAGGTCATGTTACTAATTAGACAGCACATCCTACTGAATCATTTTGCTAGTGTTCCTACTTTTGAAATTCATAGCCCCCTTTTGTGGAGTTTTGAGAGATGCTTTTACAAGAAACTAGGTGGGGGGGAAGGACTGTTTCAGTTGGTCTTAACTGGGTTTCATAATGCCCACCATCAAGTACACACAACTCTTGCTACCAAAAGCAAAATCTATGTAGGCAGTCACTTAAGATACCTGTGGTATCTAAAGCTCTTCAAGGTATTTTATTTGCAACTTTTGACACCTTTCTTTTTCATCTACTTCTCTGTGGTTCTACACTTGATTTATGGGACAGGAACCTGTTCTCTTTATGTCCTTGTGTAAGGGAGGGGATGCTAGGTGCAAGGGTATTTAGCATACAGGAATAACTTCAAGAGGTACTGGAAGTCAAAAGCATCTAACATGGTATATAGAGCACAAGGAGATGGCTGTGTAGATAATGCAGCTCAGGGAATTACAGTTACTGTAAGGTAGGCTCCTCTTTTTTTTTCCTCTGGCAGTGTAAAGTGTCTTATTCAAAAACAAGGTTATCTTAATGCTTTTAGTAGTTTTGTCTCTGAGGAGTATTTTTCCTGATGCCTAGCGATTCTACTGGAGTGTCCAGTCCTAAATTATGGGCTGGGCATGGTGAGCACTGGGCACCAGAGTAGGATCTCAGGCTGGTGTTCCTGCAGCCTTTCAAACCTATGCTCTATCCCAGACGTGGCAGGATAACACCCCAGATATGGTCAGATCTACAGTGACTACAAACTAACATGTGATTCTTGAATGCTTAATACTCCCCCACCACCACTCCACACTGCAATATAGAGCCCTAAACTTCCTGTCAATTCAGTCAGGACCACCCCCCCATGCTCTTACCTTTTGAGTCCCTGCCTAAGATTTGCCTTTT